AGTGAGATGATTACTGATTCATTGACTTGCACAATGGGACAAATCCAAAGGGCCAAAAGAGGAGTATTTATCCATTGAATGAACAATGATTTAATGCCCTCTAAGTGTCCGATGCAGTTTTGGCAGCTGGAAATACACAGACACACAAGCCACAACGCGACTGGTGGGAAGTCTCTGCTCATCAGTCTAAACCGTTTGTACCATTGCTCCAGGCTGTGCCCATCCTTTGCAGCCAAGTCATGACTTCCTCATCCTGAACCCTGTCCTGAAGGTTCAGTCCCAGAGTCAGCTCACCCTCCCCAGAGCCCTTCTCACCTTCCCCGTGCTCATCACTAGCACTAACTACAAAGTGTGACACTGGGAAAGATGCAACAAGTGCTGGGAGTTAGGTAGAAGCTACAAATAGGACAAGTAGACAGCAGAGCCTCAGCCAGGCGATGCCCAAGCCTGGTGACTCAGCACCGCAGAACGTGGGTCATGTGATGAGCTCTGAGAAGCAGCAGCCTCCTCCTTGGGAGCCAGAAGAGTGGGTGCAGTAACTCAGCAGTAGAGTGCTTGCCTTGTATGTATAAGGTTCTGGGTTCAAACCCCAGCAATGCAACACACACACACACACACACACACACACACACACACACACACAAAATGCACTTACTACTTGAATAGTGGCTCAGCCTCTTACCAGCAAATTACTGTCTAGTCTTAGTTTGTTCTCTCTCTTTTTCTCTCTCTCATTTTGGAGTCACATCTCATGGTGCTGAGCAAACCAGACATGACTCCTGACTCTATGCTCAGGGATAACTCCTGAGGGGGTGCTCAGGGGACCATATGGGATGCCAGGGAGTGAACCCAGCTCAGCTGCATGCAAAGCAAGAACCTTACCCACTGTACTATGGCTCTGGCTCTGGCTCTGGCTCTGGCTCTCTCTCTCTCTCTCTCTCTCTCTCTCTCTCCTTTTTAAAAATGGGTCTAAAGTGCTCATCTCTGAGAGTTATAGTACATCTTGCATAAACTCACTATGAAAAACACTTTGTGTAAAGTTCCATAACTGGTCATTTTAAGACAAGCCCTTGGATGATCTCTGAAAAATAAGTTTTCTAAAGAAAGTTGGCAATGTCTCAATATTACATCTCCCTTCTTGGAACTATGCAGGACACATTAGTAAAAGTTCAGAAAATACCCATGAGTAAAGATCCTATATAATTTGTTTTGGCTTGGAATTCACCAAACCTAATTGCCAAAGACAATTCTCTTCCATAATAAACTGTAACATTTGCACACTTTGGGAAAAGCACTATTAGCTGCGTTTAACTCTTAAAGAAGGTCATATGAAATGGTTAAAAAGCTGATTGTGGTTTCCTGTTTTGCTTTTCCCACAGTCTGGTATCATTTGCAGGAAGCTGCATTGGAGACACATGGGAATCTAGCCTAGGGAAGGCGCAGGATGCTTTCAAAGTCTAAAAGAAATGCAACATTTCAGGCAGAAGGAACAGATCAATAGTGAGCTATTTCGGGTCACGAAGACATTTCTAGAATTACAGACAGAGTCTTGGAGTTAGACAGCATTAAATTCGGCTGTAAATTCCCACCAGTGCAGAAATCCTCACCCCCAAACTCCTGACCTCTGCTGGCACACACCCAGCCTCCCCAGCGTGGAGCACTCTAGTAATCAGAACATGCCCCCACACCGGCTGGAATCTGCCTCCTCGAGCATCCCCCCCCACCCCATGATGCTAACGGAACTCCGAGTTTTGTTTTCTGGGAAGAGCTTTCCATCCTGCAGGCAACACCAGCATATTTTGGTGACTCAGAACACAAGGTAAAAGAGTAAGTTTATTAACTGAGCCAGGAACTGCAAGGAAGAGTTGCTGAAAACAACTTTCTTCCCCCTCCTGAGAATCAAGAGAAAACCAACGACTTTGCTCCACTGTAAAGACACGGATGCAATATTACGTGGTGGGTGGAATGATTCTGCAGGCATCAATTTCCATAAAGAAAAGAGGAAATCCACATTCTAAACGGCATATAATTATCTCACACATTTTACTTAAAAGACAAAACATTTAGAAAGAGGTTTTGGGGTTTCACGTTGTGTGGTGCAGCCAGGGACTCACCCACGGCTGCACGGATGCAAGGCATGTGCTCGGCCACAGAGTTGTTGCAGCCCCGTGGAGATGTCTCCTAAGTGGTGTTCAGGGGCCTGGGAACCGCTTCCTAGAATACTCAGCCCACTGCTCCAGTTGCTTTAACTAGGTTCTGCTGGGCCCAGTGCTGGGCTCGAAGAGGCGGTGTGCTGGGAGCTCTGCAGCACTGAGGATGGAGTACGAGGGGCCCAGCACAGGGGCGGCAGAGGCCCCCCACCCCTGAGACATCTACCCAGCCTGGCAAGAGACATTTTGATTATTTATTTTGTTTTGTTGTTTTTTGGACCACTATGTTGTTCAAGGCCGAGTCCTGGCCCTGTACTCAAGACTCACTCTGGGTGGGAGTCAGAGGGATCATATGAAAGTGTCCGGGGTTGAATCCAGGTTTGGGGCATGCAAGGCATGTGCCCTACCCATTGCACTATCTTTCTGGCCCTTACTATTGTGTTTTAAAAAGAACTTCCAAAGTTCAATTCCTGGCACTATTGTGAGATCGTGAAAGAGCCTTCCATGTGTCATGACAGGCTACACTTCAGCAAAACAAGCAATAGGCCTAACTTTTTGTTTACCCTCCAAAAAATTACCTGAAACTGCCATTGGCTGAAGCTGGAAATCCCCTAGATGACAGTAGCCAGTCCTACGATAAGTAGGATATCTCTGGGCACAGCAGGTGGGTATGACCAATTAGCTCACAGACTTGTGATTGCTTTGTTGCAATTCTTGGGAAAACCACCAACTTTGCTTATATAACCATACGCCATATAATGGTCCCTGGAATGAGAGTTGGGGTTCTTGTCAAGACTCCACTGTGTAGGGTGAGGCTTGGACCCCAGCTCGAGCTAGCAATAAAGGTTCCTTTGCTTTTGCATTCTCACTTGTGGAACTGGTCTCTTTGTGAGCATGAAACCCAGAACCCGGGTATAACACTATATGCTCCCCTGGGCATAGCCAAGGGTGGTCTTGGTGGCCCCCAGCACCAAGTGGTGGCAGAAGCAGTCCTAAACTGGGCCTTAACAGCTGGGCAGAATATCGCCAGTAGTGGCCACTGAGTTCCCTGTCCCCTGCTCTACTCAGCATGGCTTGGGAGATCTCCACCCCACAAAATGTATGTTCTTCTTCTTTTTTTTTTCCTTTTGGGTCACACTCGGTGATGCACAGGGGTTACTCCTGGATCTGCACTCAGAGATTACTCCTGGCAGTGCTCAGGGGACCATATGGGATGCTGGGAGTCGAACCTGAGTTGGCCGCGTGCAAGGCAAATGCCCTACCCTCTGTACTATTGCTCCATCTACTACTACTACTACTACTACTACTACTACTACTACTACTACTACTACTAATGCTTCATTCCTAAAAATGCTAACTATCAACCTGAACCTTCAGCAAGTCATAAACTTTTTGCAGGGGAGGAGGAGTCCTGGGAAAAAAGTGCAGCTCTGTGCAAAAATCAATAAAGCCAAGTGCAATAAAATAAGGCCTGCCTGTGCGGGAAGGACGAGCTGGGCTGGCACGGAATGGTGCTTCCTGAGGAGTGTCCCGGCCAGACCTCACTGTGTGTGCCACCATGACTTGGACACACTGCAGTGTCTGTGGGGCACTCAGTTATGCCAAGGCAAAGAAGCTGATGCCTCTCTTTTACAAGGGGTGAAACAGCAGTCAACTCAGGCCAGAGTCACCCCAGATGCCACCCAGAACTAGCCTGACGTTCTGGCCATCCAGTGACTACAGAACTAGCTGTGCATGCTTCCTGCGGAACCCTGTTTTCTTCAGCTCACTCCCACTGGTTTGGTTATGAAAGACAAAGGAAAACAGACACACACCAGCCTAGGAAGACTGTCAGCATGAGTGAGGGCTGAGCCATGCGTGGGGTGTGGGGGAGACGGCGAATTCTCTCACTTGGGTCCCACTTGACTGACAACTCCCCCTCCTGCCCCACTGATGCTTCTGTCCCTGAGGCACACCACGGCTCTGAGCACCCTCCTTTTCACAAAGGCCAGGTCACAGGCTGCCGTGCCCTGCCTTCCCGGGCAGCGCTTTCGAAGGGCTTCAGGGAGGCAGAATGATGGTCTGGCCCCAGTGTGGGGAGAGAGAGAGACAGACAAGCAAATCCCAGGGAAGGGATGGGCTCTGGGGTGGAGCTGGGCACCGGGCAGTAAGGACACTCAACAGGCGCACGCAGCAGGAGACAAGGCAGGGGCTGCTTCTGTGGGTGCATTGAACCATCTTTGCCTGCCAGCAGGGCTGAGAGAGAGGAGTGAGAAAGGGAGGGGTAAGGAAGAGATGGAGGGAGAGAGGGAGAGAGGGAGGCAGAGAGAAAGGAAGAAGATAGAGAGGGGGAGAGAGGTAGAAAGGGAGAGGAAGAGAGAAAGAGAGAGGGAGGAGGGGAAGTAGAGGGAGAGAGGGAGGGAGAGAAAAGGAGGAAAGAAAGGGAAAGAGAGAGACAGAGGAGAGAGACAGAGAAGAGAGAGAGAAAGAGAGAAAGAGAGAGAGAGCGAGCACACAAAGGGTAGAGGAGGTTCAGAGCTCTGCAGACGGTGAGGATGAACCCGATGACTGTCCTGTCTGTTGCCAAGCAACAGCACACAGACCCCCCACCCCTACACCCATCTCCAGGCAGACTTGCTGGCCAGAGAGGGGCTGCCGTCTACCCAGCAGCCACAGGAGCTGCCTCGCCCTCCTGGCAAGTAAGTCCAGATTCTGATGCCTCTGCCCATCCTTCTTTCCCTTTTGCCCACCCAGAGTCCACCCACTCCCCCAAGTCTCTCTCCTTCCCTAAGACGCCAGGGATGAAGCACACCAAAGCCTTCTTCCCTGCATCCCTTGGGGTTGGGGGGGGGCGGAGAGGGAGGGTGTTACCTTAGATTGTCGTCCAGAGTCTCGTCATCTGAGGAGACGGTCCCATTGCTGACACATGGGGGGCGGCGACTCCTCCCTGCAGACACCTCCCGGGTCGAGGTCCCGTCCTTCTTTCTCCTTTTGCTAAACAACTTCTTGAAAGGCTGGAACTTGCCGCCCTTCTTCTTGTCTGTGAGTAGGAGAGAAACACACACTGTAGTAGCTCAGGTGAGCTGCACCTGGGAGGGTCACTGCAGCTCAGCTGCTCGGGCGCAGGGCAAAGGGCGGCCATCGGGAAGGAGCGGCCAGGCCCTGTGCCTGGAACGCCAGGCCCGGCCCCTCCAAGCACGCTCAGGTGGAGACGAGCCAAGGGCACCGCGGGAACCTCCTGGGGATGGAGACAGCTTCTGAGCGTCACGGGGACAGCAGCCCCTGTGGCCGCAACTTTCTTTAGCAAAGCAGATGGCACATGCCCTTCTCCATAGAGGAAGTGGGCAAAACAAGGAAGTCAGACAGGTCAAGTCTGGATGGGGGGAGAGAGAGAGAGAGAGAGAGAGAGAGAGAGAGAGAGAGAGAGAGAGAGAGAGAGTGTACAGGGATAAACCTTGCATGCAGCTAACTCCGGTTCAATTCCTGGAACCACATGGTCCCTCAGCAGCTGCAAATGGTCCCACCAAAAAGTGTAGCTCAAAGCTGCCGTCAAGTTTATATGCGAAACACTGTAGCACTGTAGCGTTGTTCATCGATTTGCTCCAGTGGGCACCAGTAGTGTCTCCATTGTGAGACTTGTTGTTACTGCCTTTGACATATTGAATACGCTACAGGGAGCTTGCCAGGCTCTGCCGGGTGGGCGGGATACTCTCGGTAGCTTGCTGGGCTCTCTGAGAGGGGCGGAAGAATCGAACCCAGGTTAGCTGCATGCAAGGCAATCGCCCTACCCGCTGTGCTATTGCTCCAGCAAAACACATGGCATATAATATATAATGTATTATATGTGGGCTGGAGCAAGCTACCGAGAGTATCCCGCCCACACGACAGAGCCTGGAAAGCTTCCCGTGGTATATTATTCAATATGTCAAAGACAGTAACAACAAGTCTTACAATGGAGATGTTACTGGTGCCCGTTCGAGCAAATTGATGAACGACGGGAGGACAGTGCTACAGTATTACATGTAATACATACATATACATACTCTTGCCTTTGAAAATCACCATTTCAGCTCTTATTAGCCGGTAACAGCTAACTCTTGGCATAAGTTTAGACCCTAATTCCCTCCACTCCTATATATTTTCACTTCTTTTGTCTCCTTTTATTTATTTATTTATTTATCTATTTAGGTTTTGTGTCACATCCAGCCTCACTCAGGGATCACTCCTGGTGGGCTGCGGGGACCACATGGGATGCTGCAGATTGAACCTGGGTCAGCCTTGTGCAAGGCAAACACCCTACTCACTGTCTTATCTCTCTGACCCTCCTATCTCCTCTTAAAATCTATTATGAAGAGCCACAAAGGAATTGCTACAAACTCTTTTTGTTTATTCCCTCATCAAGTCAGGCCTAGGCTCACAGCCAGCATTTCTTGCCCATATTTTAGCTAAATTCCACGCTGCTCTGCTCCTTGAGATCCGAGTACTTCAACACCACTCCACTCCCACCTGGGGAAAATAAAGAGCGAATGTCCCAGAACCGTCTTCTTATAAATGAGCTCTCCTTTTTCTTGCTTTTGGTTTTGGGGCCACTCCTGGCTGTGCTCAGGGCCCACGTGGTGCCGGGAACCAAGTCTGGGGCGTGTGCTTGGCCCATGAGCTACGTTGCCAGTGTATTTTCCTTTCCTTTTTCTTTCTGGTTTTTGGGGTGCACCAAGGATCCTGGCGGACAAAATGTGGTGCCTTACCCCCTGCCCAGGCCCACCACTTTCCCTCTCTTAAAAAAGCGTAAGGAACTACTTATCTGGTTCTCAGAAGACCCCTTTAAGTCATTTAACCCTTCCTATATACACTGCTGTAAAAACTTTACAAGTATCAGTTCAGTGAATTCTCACAAAGGTCCTATGAGACAGATATCACAGGCATCCCCTCTTTACAGAGAAGAAACCCAAGGAACGAAGGGATGAAACAGCTCACATGTCTTTGAGGCTGGAGATGGGAGCCTGCAGGGGACAGGGAGGATGAAAGCTCACGCCAGGAAGGGAGACCTGTCTGTCTACAAAGTTCTCTGTGAGCATCAGAGCCTGCCGAGCTCAGAGGTACAGAGTGATCTAGGCCCAGGAGAGACGCTACGGACCATGTTCAAACCAGCTGGTGCATTCCCTGCAGTGACCATCAGTTCTGGCCTCACTGAGAGTTAAGAAAATTTAATGTGCACAAGAAATGGTATAAGCCACTTCAACCTAAGGATCAGAGTAAGACAAGGGAACAAGCTGACAGATGAACTGACAACCACACAAAGGCAACAGTCTGATCCTTATTGTATTAGTGGCTCATCTTTGAACTTCAGAGGTCCCTGGAACAACACTGCACTGTGTCATATTGAAGAGGAAAAGGAATCTGTGACATTTTGGTGCCTTTCCACAGGAGGTTCTGTTCAGGGCACTCGTCCCCAAAACAGTCACACCACCTTCATCATGTTATTTGTAAGGGGGCATGAGATACAATTGCAATAGATCATTTCATAATAAAAACAGGGCTGGGGATGTAGCTCAGCTGTAGAGAACAACATGTTTTGAATGGATGGGGCGGGGGTCCACCCTGGCACACACATGTGCAAACGCATAGTTAAAAAAAACAAGTGGAGGTTTGATTTCAGAACGGTTTGATGTTTTCAGTACTTATTCAGGAGAGATTACAGGCTGAAGATTTCTATGACACCTATTTTTCGTTCTCATGAGTGAAATTCATAATTAATCATTAAAATATTTACAATCAGTAGTTTGTAAATACCATCAGAGAACATTAGGCACATGGTTAAAAGAACGGATCTTACAGCTGGAGAAGTAGTCTAGGAGGTAAGGAGCTTGCCTTGCATGTGGTGGACTCTGGTTCAATCTCCAATACCACACGGTCCCCTGTCCCTACCTACCCGCAAACATCACTGGGGTTTGTTGTGGAGAGTCCCAAACACTGCCAAGTATGGCCCACACAACCCCTGGCACCACAGGGCCTAAGCATCACCACAATCACCAGCCTTGTGGCCAAACATTGCCAGAAGGTTTCCCAAACTTCCTGAGCATCATCTGGGAGACACTCCCCCGGGCCCCCTCCCCCCACACACTAAAGAATTGACCTTTTATTAAATGAGTCAACTGAAGTAAATTCTTTGATTTTGAGCCAGGGCACATCTGGTGGTGCTCACAGGTTACACCTAGCTCAATATTTGGGGGTTATTCTTGGTGGTGTTCTGGGGACCATGTAGTGCCAGGGATAGAACCGAGCCTCCTGTATGCAGAGTATGTAACTTGAGACCAGTGAATTATCTCTCAGCCCAATTAAAACTTTTGTTTCTGGGCCACACTGGTGGTACCCAAAGCTTACTCCTGGCTCTGCATTCAGGGACACTTCTTTTATTGTTCAGGGGACCCACTGTGGTGCCAGGAATCGAACTGGAGTCAGCCATGTGCAAAAAAAGTGGCTTAACCCCCCGCTCTATCTCTTGAACTCGTGTTGGATAACTTTGGTTTGTGCTTTCTCCTCTGCCACAAGGAGCTTAGGTTTACTGGGTTATACCCATCACAATGGAAGCACTCCCATTTCCTTGGTATTCATCTTTAACTTCTCCTTTGTGTTCTGCTTCTCCTGTCTGTTAATCACTCACTTCCCCTAAGCAGTACCTGTGACTTGTAAAGTTAAATTCTTCAGAAATCTTGGATTTGTATTTGTAAGTGAAATATTGCTTTTCTCTTTCCCTTATGTCCTTTGCATATTTTATCTTAGAGCAATGTCCTTTTTGTATAGACACAGGAAGACAGTTAATGCTATGCTTTTGTAACTTGGGAGTTAATTGACTCCAAATAATATTTACTCCTGGGCATCTGTCTTATTTACTAGACTTAGCCTTAGTTGCTCTTAGTTCCTAGCACCCCCCAAAAGCAGGGTCTTGACTGGATGGACCCAGGGCAAGCTGTAAGCTACCCTGGCATTGAAACAGGACAGGCCAAGTGCCATAAAGCTTATAATAAGCTAAGAGCATGGTCGTGGACAAATTCTGTCATGACCCAAAGAGAAGTGACTGGACAAGGACCCTGCTAGGGTTAGGAAGAACTATCTGGTCTGAGGACTAAGGTCTGGGATCTATAGAGAGATGTTCCCAGGAGAGCCACCCTATAAGCATAATATATCTCTTTCTGCGTTCATACAAAATGACTAGAAAGACTATTAAGAAGTAAGTAAATATAAGATGATTGTTTCTAGACTAAGGAAAGGAGAAGTATGTCCTCAGATGAAATTCTGCTCTCAAATGGATCTCCTAGCAGGAGGAGATCTTTGATCTTTGTTTTATCTTAGAAGAGCTTCCCCCACTGGACCTCCCACCCGCTAGGAAGGGCTTTCATATGTCGATTGTTCTAGCTTACCTAGATGCAGTGGCTACTCCCAAGCTTGGAGGCTGGGTTCTAGATGAGGGCTGTGAGACTGGGTGCTGGGACAGGAACTTGGGGACAGGAGGAGATGGGAATGAGGGGCAGTGTGAGACTGTTATGGGACGCTCAGGGAGACTGGAACAGGCACGTGGGGAGAATGGAATAAATGGTGGGATGGAGATTGGTATAAACTGCAACTGATCACCAACCAGCATGGCGGCCTGGTTCCCTCCTTCATGCGTCTGTTGGCAGTGGCTGCAGGCTGGGGTGGGGAATCTGCTCATGGCCACCGAACGCACATGGTGGGAGAGAGCCCAGGCTTCTCATTTGTTTTGTGAATACACAGGCTCCCAATTAAAATTTTTAAATAAAAAATTCTGTAAGGTGCCAAGGGTATTACACAGTTGACCTTCTGCTGTGGCTGCTGAAGAGAGTGAGCATTTCCTTTATGACAGTCCAGGGCTGGAAACATATAAATGATGTCTCATTTCCAGGTTTGGTGACACGAGTAAATGGTCAGGCAGTAAGTCTCACAGTAAGTGTACATACATTTCACCTATTTCTGAAACAAAATATTTTCCTTGTATATCCATTGCCTTTTTTCTCTTCACTACAG